TTGGTGCCATAAAGAGGATAATCTTTGCAATTCAAGCCATTACTCTTTTGGATGAGTTTGGGGTTTTTTACAACAGAATGTGCTTCCAGCTTGAAGCCCTGTCAGTCAACTGAAGAACTTGACTGGGTTTTAATTGGTGATGCTGCCCCAAGAGAAGGTCCAGACAGGTCTGCAGTGAGTGGGGACAGAATTAATTGTCATTAAATCAGCACTTTAGTGGCTCAGTGCAGTCATTTCAAGGAAGCCCCTGATAGATTATTCAAGGATCCATTTGGGGACAGAGGTAGAAACCTACTTAGAATACCTAGGCCTAAAAACTGACAAATCCAGGGGCTGGGGTTGTTGCTCAGTGGTAGAGCGCTCACTTAACATGCGTGAGGCACTGGGTTTGATGCTCAGCACCTCATAAGTATAAAATAAAGATATTATGTACGCCTATAAGTAAAAAATAAATATTTAAAAAAAAAACTGACAAATCCAGGCTGGGGTTGTGGCTCAGTGGCAGAGCACTTGCCTAGCATGCCTGAGGCACTGGGTTCGATCCCCCACACCACATAAAAAATTATTATAAATTAGAAATAAAGGTTAAATTCTTTAAAAAAAAATCTGACAAATCCATTAATTTGAGTCATTCATATAAAATGTTCAAGTTACTGTTTTTGATTGTTTTGTTCAGAACATCTTCTGAATGTGCTTCCTGAGAAACCCTGTACCTGCATTAGGAAAGGCACAAGGAAATCCTCCTCAGTGCCCCAGATCAGCCATCCAGGACACCAGCCAATTTAGTGGTCTTCCAATAAAAATTAGTTTTTATTAAGAGCTAGAAATTTGAATGCCACATTGGCACACCTCAACTGCTTAGATCTACCAAATGGATCTAGGAATCCACTGGCAGGGGCCTTCCTGACTACCATTTCTAGGCATCCAAAAACATTAATAGTGTTTCTAGAATTAAAAGATGCCTTGGTCAGATAAACCCAGGGCTAGGTCAAGTCAAACAGGTTACTTTATTTTGGAATTTCTTAGAACATTTCATGTGCTGCTTTATATCCAGGATCTGCTGAGGAGCATAGTCCAGCCATACATCTGGAAACCTTGACCAAGAGCATAGTCTCTCAGACTTTGTGTGCATTGCAGTCACCTGGAGAGCTTGTTAAAATGCAAGTTATTGAACTCCAGCCCTAGAGTTTCTGCTTGTGTAGCAAGTTCTAGGGGATGCTGATGGTTCTGGGACCATACTTAGAGAACCACTGGTCTGGACTTATTTTTCCATTCAGCAAAGAATAAAATAGCCAAACCAAAGGGTATCCATTAATTGGCCAGCACCATTAATTGGTCACCATTAGTGACCATTAATTGGCCAGCACCTGGTAAGCATTTCTCATGACTATTTCTAAAGGCAGGTGTGCTCCTGGAACTCAGTCACTAGAAAGGGGCCAGTACTAGGCAAATGACTCTGTCTTAACTTGTGCTCAGGACCCACTGGAAGAGAGGAGAGATGGTGATCAAGCAGGGTTCTGCCCTGGAGACAGTTAAGGTCTTTCTTTCCTTGGCATAATTAATTGGGAACATAAATTTGTTATGTGTTTTAATCCTCTAGGGCTTAGCTTCTTCATCTATAGATGGAAGAGGATGTAAATTATTTTTAAGGATGCTCACTAACTCTAGCATTTCATTTTATTTTTGCTCCCAGTCACTTTTTTGAGCATCTGGTACTCCTGTCCACTCCATCAGCCGTTGGAGATAGATGTTAGAGCCTGTGTATTGCCTTGCAGGGGGCTCTGCATTTTATAAGAGCACTGTAGGAGGGAGTGATGGGAGGATTCCAAAAGCCTAGCCCCTAAGTAGTGGATTGTAACAGAAGCAACTGGTCTAGTATAAAAGATTCCCAAGGTCTTCCAGTTTGCACACAGATTTCACAGTCCTTTGAAGTGCCTAGTACTGTCTCTGTCCAAATTAAATCAGGGTCGGTGTTGGTTAAATATATTATGTTAAAGGTTCTTATGGGGACTTTAGAAGCCCCTGGAATTGTATTTAGGTTTGTGTATGTGTGAGTTTGAGTATGTGTGAGCACACTCGTAGGTTTTTCTACAAACAGGATGAAGAAATGTCAAGAGTCATTGCCTTACATGGAAGGCCAGCCCTTATCCATATACAGTTGCCATGAGTAGGCTTAAACTCCTGCTGAGCTGTTCCTGGAGAAGAGTAATAGGGAGTCTGCAAGGAGCTGTGATTTTCCACATTGTTAATGATGTATCTCAAGCAGCTCCTAGAGAATAGACAGGAGTGACCTGGGTCCCAAAGCCACAACAGGAGCGGCCCAAATGGGAATAACGGGGAATCCTCAACTCACAAGCCCTAAACAGCAGTGATTAGAACAAAACATGCTGTCTAGCTGCCCGGACGCCTGGCTTTGCCCCATAAACTCTGGCCCCATGTTGTGCCAGGAACATACCTAAAATGCTCAGTTCCGCCTAGTGGGCACTGCCCTCTGCTGGAAGGTGGGTGCTACTGGGCCTCAGTGCCAGAAGAGGAGGGTGTCTTGGGTTGTCTCTGGAATGCAGTGACACTCTGGCAAGTGCAGTAGTCCCAACCATGGGGCACAAGAGTGATGCGTTTTGCGGTCCATCTGTACCCTATCTGCCACCACATCTTCTCTGAGAATCAGCTGGCCTGCTTCCACATTGGCATCCTCACACCTCAGCTCAGCTGAGCAGTTATCCTGGACCACATCACTGGGAACCATATTTCTTGTCACCCTGGATGGTCCCAGCCCAGGCTGATGGACAGACGCATGTGCGCCTGAGAGAATGCAGGGGCTGTGTGTTTAGAGAGGTGGGTGGAGAGGCTGGGGTGGGTGGGAGGTAAGGGGCTTCCTTTGTGCACTCACCTTCACTGATCCCAGACCTATGCCATCCACTCTGCGGCTCTCCACCTGGTCAACCCCTTCCTGTGTCCCCTCTGAAACACCATCGCGTCTTGGCCTCCTCAGGGCTCAACGCCCCCACACCCAGGCAGCACAGCCGCCACCGCACTCCACACTGACCTGGTGCACATGGACCCATCCCCCTTCTACTATGTCTAGGTTCCCAGCTCCCCACCTGCCCCAGGGGCCTTGTGTCCTGGCCCCTCCTTTACCATCTGTCTCAGGAAGGCAGCTCCAACTCTGCTCTCTGCTTAGTGAGCAAGTGGATTCAGATGCACAAACCATAAGCCATGGGGTAGGTACAAGTTTTTTCTTGTCTCTTTCTTCTCAACCCTCTTCTCCCTGTCCCCTCCTCCTCCATACTCTTCTCACTCTCCCTTCTAGCCCTACATCCCACATTTCCCCCTCCTTTATTTTTCTCTTTTCCTTTGCCCTTCAAATCCCTAAATTCCCAAAGTAATGTGCTTTTAGCCAATGTACAGGGGAAAGTGATCCTTCAACCCCTTAATTACTATGAGTGGTAAAGGTAATTCTGGCCCTGCCCTGAAGGAGAGTTGGGGGCTCTGGTGGCTTCCAGGGAATACAACTTTGCCCTTTTAAAGTACTTGGACCTCCTTCCAGCTGGTATCTGGTTTCTGGTAATATCCCATGTGCTTCCAAGAAGAGACCTAACACGCGGATGGCCTGAGGGATTCCCTGAGGTGGGTTCTTGGTGGAAGCAGAAGCTCAGACTGCATCCTTAATCCCTTCAAGCCACATATCCAAAATTAGGCCAGAGACCTCTGCTCCAAGTTGGCTCTGTGGATGGAGTCCCCCAATGTGTCCTCTGCCTCTGCACTGACAACCAGGGAGGACATGAAAAGGCCCATGAGGTGGAAAAGAATTCCCAGGACTTAACCTGTAGGGACCAAGGCAAAAGGTCAGAGACAATATGACTTCTCTCTGGAACCAATTTCTAGGCATTCTAGCTTTTAGAATCAAGTTAGGGGATGTAGTAGCCTAGTCCTGAGTTCTGACCAAGCCTGACTACACTGGGCTTTATGACCATTGTCACTTAGAATATCCAGACCCCAATTGGTTTCCTCACCTATAAAATGGAAGATGAAACAGCCTGTGGTCCCACTGCTTCCCCTTTTCAGCCAGAATGGCTCCTACTTCAGCTTGATGTTTTAGAAGTTTGAATGAGGCTTTCTCCTACCACACCAGCAGGAGGTGCTGCTTCACACAGGGCCTTCCAGCCCTTTGCTGTGTAGCGTCCTCTTTTTGTTGTGATTTGCTTTCCATTCTCCACTCCACCAGTGCTTCCTGTGTTGCTTGTCATAGTGATGGGTAGGCCATCACTCCTCAGTGTAAAAAGAGGAGCAGCAATGAACAGGCACTTCTTGCCTCAGTTCAACGGCTTAGGGGCAAAACTGACATCACCAATACATTGATATTTGTTAAAAACAAAGTGTACTTGCTCTTGGTGTGTCAGGGATCCAGACATTCTGCCAAGTGGACAATGCATCACTCAATTTGTGTTGGGACTGGCCTTCCCCTTTGGAAACATGGTAGAAAAGATAGGACTGCTGTTTCACCTGTGCAAGGCTCCTTGCCCAAGCTGCAGGTTCCTTTTGTCAGCAGAGTGAGCAGAAAGCCTCAGGCAGCAGACAGCCCTCAGTTCTAAGAAACCAGAACCCTTTTTCTAAAATAATAGGATCAGAACCTCAAAGAAGTTTTGACTAGGCCACTGTCACAGAATAGGTCAAGAACTGCCTCTTCCTTATCAACACAGATAAGGAAAGGGGAATTCACTAGGCCAGACCATGTGCCTCATGATGGCTGCTAACTTTGAAAAGGAGGTTGAGTGCAGGGACTTTTGAAAAATTTCGAGTGCTTCCCTGAGAGCTTAGACAGGTGTTCATGGAACTGTGTGAATGCTCTCAGTTCACTGCACTGGTGCTTTCAGCTCCTCAGTGACAAATCCCACAGGGCCAGTGTGAGTGGGTACTACCTGGGAGCAGTAGGAAATTGGAAGAATGAGAATGTAGGCTGGGACCCCTGGCTCACAGCTTTTTCCCATGTGTCTTTCCAGATGCGCTGGCTCCCTCCCTCAGAGGCTACTTCTCAGGGCTGGAAGTCCCGTCAGTTCTGCTGAATGCTCTGTAAGTACTTGGTCTCACTGAGGAATGTGGACAGCAAGCAGCAGGCAGACAATGCACAGGGCTTTTGGTAAACAGCAGCTTTCATCCTTTCTCCACACCCACACCTTCTGCACTCTCTTTGGTTGTCCATCTTTTAAAAACTAAAACTCTCAGGTGGCAGTGCATCTCTTCTGAGAGAAAGTTTTCATCTGGGATCAGGGAAAAGTGAGGTATGGCCACTGCAGTGTTTGAGTCTAACTTAGGAATCAGATTCCTGTCTGTGACACTTCATAAATAAGCAATCAGTGCTTGTTTCTGAAGAACACGTGTCAGAAAGTTTCCTTACGTAATTGTGGTTCACCTCCCACCATTAAATAAACTCTTTCCTTAAGATTTTTTATCTTGAGAGAAACAATATCCTCTGTTGGCATCTTTGTGCCATTGTAGGCCTGACTTTGCTTCAGGCAACTACCAAACGAATTTTTACCTATAAATGTAGAATTTCCACAATGGCCCACATACCTTCTGTAATTCAATATCTTGAATGGATTTCTGCTAAGTACAAGGCATCATTATTCTAAACTATAACTTGGTGTGTTAATTTGGGGAGGCTGCTGAAAATTAAATGGGAAGAGGAAGGGATCAGACCTTAATCCTATTAGAAACACTAAGGAAGTCATAGCAAGCCTGGGTCTTTTCTTGGGGACCTTATATTTTCTGATAAAAATGGTTCAAAATAAAAGTAATGTTATTTCTTCTTCCACTATGACAGAGTTTTGTGTGCTCCGTTACATCCCTTGAGGCCATTGGGTCTCTTGGAAAGGTACTGTGTAGAAAGAATTGGCATCTAGTGACTGGGTTTCACTTAAATAGACATGTGTTTAAGAATGCTCACAGGGAAAGATGGAAGGAATGACAGTGCTAGAGCTGTCCTCAAGCAGCTTAGTGCCCTCTTAGGAGGAGTTTTCAAAGGAGATAGGATTTATTTTCCACAAGCAAATTGCCCTGTTGACCTGAAGTCTCACTTGGTAGGTCAGGTCACCTTCCAGACCAGGATGTGGACTTCACTTGGCCAAGTTCTTGCCACTCTTGGTGGTCAGCACTTTCAGGCCAGCACAGGCCCTAGCTCAGAAGGAGGCCAGCTGTTCTCCCCCGGCAGGAGTGAAGGAAGTAGGACCAGAGTACAAGATAGCCCAGTGGGTAGCTTCTGTCAGCAGTGGCAGGTGCTCTCAGAATGTTGAGTCAGGAGAGAACACTTTCACCTTAGTGATTTCAGTTGGTGAAACTGGCAAAAGATGGTTGCATAGAGCCAAAAAAAGGACTTTTTTTTTTTTTTACATTTATCTAGACCAAAAGGAAAACATTCATCATTAAGCAGTTGCATTGGGTTTCATTCAAAAAGATCCTCAACTTGCCATTTGTATTGGCAAATTATTATACTCCACAGACCCATTAATGGATACCCATCAGCCAGAGATCCAGAGACAGCAACTGCTTCCAAAGCAGTGCTGGCAGTCAACATACAGCATATAAGAACCCTGTAAGATCTGAATCCAAATATGCAAACTCACTTGAGATGAGTCATTTGTTCAGAGCTAAATGTGGATGGTGGGCCAGACTCCTTCCCCAGGATGTGGACAGTGTTGGGGAGGGGAAATAAGAAAGATCATGGACAATAATGCTTATTGCTGCTGCATCCAGAGTTAGACTAGCTCAGCATGGATCCAGTATTCCAACTCCTTCTAGTCTCTTGGATCAGATCATTTCAAAAACAGCTAATAATCCAGGCTATGTAACCCTAAGGAAATGTAAATTAGAATTCAAAACTATGTTGTTGATGAGCTAATATAAATATGTTAGACCAAAATGAGTCTGTCAGAAAACTCAAATGAAAGGCACACACAGTAACATCACTGTCTCCTCAATTTCACAGAGAGGGTTTGCTCCCCCCACTTGTTGTTTTCTCTGTGTAGAAAGTGTTACCAGAACAGATAATGAGGGCAAGAGCCATGCCTGGTATCAAACAGCCTACATGCAGATTGGTGGGCACTTCTGATGGGATGGAGCATTAGATGCCATCTTCCTCTCCCAGAGGTCCTTTGAGGATTTTTAATTTATCCACTTTGATTCCTTTGTGCTAAAGAGAAATCAGTGACTAGACTAGAAATATAAACTGAACTCTTTATTCTTTAAATAAACATGGGTTATGTCTGCTATGCACTAGATATAAAAATGTGTAACAGTAGACCTATGCCCCTAAGGAGCTCAAGTTTTAGTGGGGGAGAGTTGTGGGCACATTAAAGACAAGAGAGATTACTTAGGATGCTTCAAGATAAGCATGTGGGGAGGTACGTCACTTGTCACTGACAGAAGGAAGGCTGTCTAAAGAGGGGTGTCAGAGGGCTCGGTGGCCTCATGTTGTTTGATCAGCATCTCACCTGACAAGTAGTGTTTAGTCTGCCTACACACTGTATCCCCCACCCCTCACTAGAGTCTTGGTTACTGTTTGGTCCAGCTATGTGGCAGAGAACCTCAGGATACATAATAATGATTGAAATTTATGAATTTCCCAGATGCATTGTGAACAGGAAAACATAAGCAAGTTTTTTGTCACTCCTTGCAGATCATGAGAGATCACAGCTTTCCTTGTTAGATATCCAAATGCAGTAAAATATTTTTTTAAAAATAAAAGAGTTTGAGAGTTGGGGTGGGTGTGGGACACTATTCTTAAGAACTCATGATCCTGGCCATGGACCAGGACCACAGCATAGAAATTATAAGCACATGTTGTTACATCTTCACCAAATTAGAGAAGGAAATGGTGAGAGAGAGCACTGGAACTGGAATTCAAAGCAGTTTATTCCTTATATTTTGTTATAGGAAGAATAGCTTAGCCTGTCTTTAGATGTGAGCATGAGAGCCTTGAGCACAGAGGGCTGGACATGGAGGTGATTTACAGGGAGGGAAAGGCAGCTTGCAGGCCCAGACAGTTTTTGTGGATCCTGCAATCACCTATGCCCTCTCCCTTAGAAGAGATGCATGTGCTGTGCTTTCATACTGCACTGTGGCCAGAAACCAGAGCAGTTCTTGTGACCGATCAGCCATTCACCTTCTATCAGTGAAGGTCTCCATATCACATTTAAAAGCCTTAATATAATAAATATTCAGGGGACAGCTACAATATAATGGGGAGGAGATGGGCAATAGAATAATAAACACAGTAGGTCAGGTCGTAAGCGTTATGGGAAAGAGGGAAGTCAGGCAGGAAGCCAACTGTTGTGGGGTTGACAGGCCCTTGTTTTATCCTGGTGGCAGAGTTAGCAGGGTCGTCCTGAGAACAGCACTCTAGAGACCTGGCACTTTCCCAGTTTGATAAGGGGCTGCTTTTTCAAAATAGGCCTCACCTTCCCAAGTTTGGAGAATAATGTAACTCCTCTGATCCTGTTCCTCTTGCTTCTCTTTGCTAAATAAAAGTATGTGCATGAGCTTGATGTGCAGCCAGCTTGGTTCAGGGGAGACTTCAGAGACCCCCTGGAAGAGGCAGTTGGTAGGCCCATGGCAGCCCTTCCCCCAGAGAACTTTCTTAGGACAGCCCTGAGTACAAGCTGCAAACTTTTCCCCTTACCTGTTTCTCTGAAGCTGGCTGGCGGCTGCTACCCATTAGTTCAAAGAGGGTGGCCATGTGTGAGCCTAGGACATTGAGTCTCAGTGGTTCACAGCTCAGACCAGGGTCATCAGAGGTGCCCTTGTCTCAATTATCCTGTTCCAGCCTCTCTTCTACTCATTTTTTTACAAGGAAATTAAGAAGATGTGTATACTCAGCATAAAGTGAGCAGTGAACATGTTTGGGATTCCATTTTCTTAAGGAGCAATCTCCTTAGTCCCTGGAATGACTCCAGCTCATGCATGCTCCTTGCCCACCAGTGGAACCCCAGTGTGCACAACTGTTGTTGATGTAACTACAAAGAGCAGCTCATTGATGCCCCCATGCTTCTAGGAACAGGGGGTGAGTTGGGGAGTCATCCTGATTAGCTTAAGCCAAGAGGAATCTGACCATCAGTATGACCTCTTCAGTGACAGGCATCCTAAAAATGTAGCTAAGGCTCGGGCAGGCCAGGGAGGCACCCTGGGCCTGCTGTTCGCAGCATGCCCCCTGACCCTCTGGTGCTGTGGGAGTGTTGCAAGGGCAGGAGGGAGTTGGGTGAGCCAATTGGTTTCATTTGCAAGGATTCATATTTATTTCCTGTACTCAAATAACCTTTTACTAGAAAATCAGAATTACACCTACTCATCATTTCATGTTTTTATAGTAAAATTCTGGGGTGAACATTTTTCCCCTTAATTCAGAGAAGACAAATGTTCTACAAGGCAATCTTTCCTTCAGGTTTACCCCTAATTTTGGTAGGTTTTAGCAAAGGGTGCACAGGCTGTCTCCCCACTGGGCCCTGGAGGGGCTAGGGACCTCCCTTGGAAGGGCCTCCTGTGCCAACTGAGCCTGTGACATATTGTGAAGAGCTCAGATGGTTTGCCACAGTACAACAGCCTCTGACTTTATAAAGGAAAAGAGCATCCACTGGGATGGAGAATCCAAACAATGTTGGGAAAAAGAGCCATTGGTGTCCGCATGCATGGAGTTAGGGTCCTTTCCTTTGCACCAGTATATTTTTTTTTCCCCTCGTTCTGGGGATTGAACTCAGGGATGCTTTACCACTGACCCACATTCCTTGCCCTTTTTTATTTTGATAGATAGGGTCTTTCTAAAGTACCGAGTGGCTCACTAAGTTGCCTAGGCTGTCTTTGAATTTGCCATCATTTTGCCTTAGCCTTCCAAGTTGCCCCCACACCCAGAAGCACTGGGGATTTTGTGGAAACCAACTGGCCCAGAGATACCCAAGCCTTCAAGAGTATTAAAAATATATGATTTGCTGGGTTTCTGCACCTTCATATTTCAAAATGCTCAGACCCTCGGGCATCACAGGATATGTTCACAGACGTGTTTCGTTTTGATTTTGTTTTCTAGATGTTGCTTAGAGCAAAATTTAATGTGCAGAGCTCTCCCATGGCCTTGGGCTGCCCGAAGCTGTTTGTTCTAAGCAGCTCCTAGAGGTGGTTATCCAGGGCCTTAGATCCCATGCCTTTGCTTGGCCAGGCTCCAGGTGGCACCTGGGGTCTAGTGCACAGTCTGTGGGATCTAACCATGTGACCATATCTGTAGAGTCACCACAGGCTGGACTTTGTGGCCTCTGAGTGCTGCAGCTCTGCCCTTGGTGAAGCAGAAAAACTCAGCACACTTCCCTCAGAGCACCCTCATTGTTCACCAAGCCCTAGTTCACTTTCTTCGCTGTGAGCTTTTCATGCCATTGATGTCATTCTTTAGTGGCAGTTTGTCGTCAGCTCAGCATCAGAGACCTTTGATCTCTTGGTCTTGGGCTTTCTCAGTCATAGACTGGTCATCAAGGCCCAGGGCCCACTAGCAAGAGTCCCATGGTAAGGGTTTGCTGTACGTGGTTAATGGGTCATCTCTTTGTTCATCCAGGTCCCAGGTGTGTGATGGCGGCTGCAATCTGTCTTGTGGGTATTAATGCGATCTTCACTGATGGCGACTGTACTCCAGCTGTTGTGCAAAACTGGAGCTTGCTGGTGAGTTCCAAAGGCCAGTGTCAACCAGTATGGTCAGGACAGGCCCCAGCATTGCCTGAGAACCCCAGACTCTGGGGTAGGGCCTCCAGTCTGGGTGCTCATCTCTCCTGGTGGTTCAGTGCTCTGCACTGTTTTGTCCAGCCCCAGCCTGCTTAGGAAAAGTTATCCAGGATAGTCACCAGCCATTTTCATAGTGCATCATGGCCTTCTTAGGTAAGGCTGATACTGTTAACATGTGGTTATCCAGTAGCAACCTAGACTGAAGTGTTCCACCAGCATCTAAGCCTTTTTCTGAAATTCAGCATGTTGTTGGAAATCTATTTTAGATGTAGTATGTATGCTCCCCTACTTTATCAGTCCAATTACATTAAGTATAATTCAGCATTTTCTTGACTCAGGGACATTTTTATGAGCCTCTTCTGAAAGGGATAATCACTTGACTGGTATGACTGAATTAAGTCTGCAAGATTCTCCAGGAATCCCTCTATACCACTTAGTTTTTCTAGTTAGTGATGATTTTGGTCATTCGTCTTCTTGCCAGTGTCAGCTGTCACTTCTCAGTCAGTAGTCTTAAAAAATAATAATAATGTACATTCTCAGAAGTATCCTACCTGCCAGGTACCACATATTGAGACTTCTGGTGTCTTTGGAAAGCTTGGCTTAGAACAACAGGAATGTCAGGGGCTGGGAGACAGCAATTTATGTCTCAGCCGAAATAAGGTGGCAGATTTCATTCCTATGATGGATCAGAAAGGAGGCAAGATTCCTGTTAAGGACAGAGGACCAGGTAGTGCTGCCCACAGAGGTCATTACCACATTTTGAGGACCTAAAATGTGACTTCACACTCAGAGAACAGCCCCTCTTAGTGCTTGACCAGAAGTGCAGACTTCTGGTGTGCACAGCCCACCTTCCACCTGCCTGCACTTGGGCAGCTTTCTGGACAGGAAGTGAGCTACCTGCACTTCAAGTATCTTTCCTACTGAAGTGTATCTTCACTGACTTCAACTTACCAACAGGCAACATTTTTCCACAACTCATTGGGCAGCTGGTATTTGTCCTGCTAATCTGTGGTCTTCTGCTTTGTTAGATTTTCCTTTTGTTGTGGTTCTTAGTAGTAATGCCCACGTAATTCTTGTTGGTATTATCACTCAAACTTTTTTAAAAGCCTTAGTTTTGTTTTATTTCCCCTCCCCCTTCTCTAGATAAATTTAAAGACCAATTAAAAGCCACCCATGTAATTTTTTGGAAGCAAGTTACATGTGATTTTTTTTTTAAGGCAGTAAAGCAACTAAAACATCAGTCATTAAAAGGCATATACCCATGAGCCCAGGCAAGGCAGCAGCAGCATTTGATGAATTCACGGCAATGCAAGGATCTAGTAATGCAAGCTGAGAGGTGGGGTGGGCGACGCAGAAAAATTTGGAAACGGGGACTATGACTTGGTGGGAAGATGCCCCAGAAGTGCTGGCAAAGATGAGGAGCTGCCAGCTGTTGTGGAAGCAGGTGGGGAGGAGGGGGTGTTCAGCACTGATGGTGTTAGCTCAGCGTGTGGTTCACCAGTTTCTGGAGCCATCCTCAGGTTACAGAAGGGAATTTGGAAGAAGCTATTTCTCTTTCCAAATTTGAAGTCAGACTACATTGCTTATGTGATCGACCTTTGTAGGGTAGAAAGGACCTGGCTGAGAAGTTAGGATCTCCATCTGGAGCTGGGCTTTCTCCAGCCAATGGAGTTGGAACCATGCACAGATGTAGCGAGCCAGCCTGCACATACTTGTTATTGTGGGCTGAGAAGTGTGATATGAGACTGGTGGAACAGTTTCTAATTACAGAAGACTGTTCCTCTAGAGATTCCATAGATCATGAACTTTGCATTTAAATTTTTTAAATGCTAATTTGTTTTATATTGTGAATTAGTATCAGTGCTTGATTTTAAGAAGTCAAGCTGACAGACACAAAAAACATTCTTAGGACTGGGGTTGTGGCTCAGTGGCAGAGCGCTTGCCTCACACATGTGAAGCACTGGATTTGATCCTCAGCACCACATAAAAAATAAACAAACAAAATAAAGATATTGTGCCCAGGTATAACTAAAAAAAAAATTTAAAAAACATTCTTATTATTAACATTTGTATATGATGTCCCATGTTTATTTGGAGTTGGGTGGAGGGAAATATTCCTTATCTGACTTTTGGTAAAAATGATTATTAGAGGGTTAAACTCTTGGGAAAGAAATCACAAGTGGTTAGGTCAAACAGTACATGTACAAGGGAGGCATGGAAGGAGAGTTAAATCTTAGCACTGGAAGAAAAAGCTCACAGTACACCTGGACAAACAGGTTTTGACTTAGTTACAGTAAGTGTCCCCTGCTCTGTCAGTCAGCAAGCATCCTGACCCCACACCCATATCTTTTAAGGCACCATTCTCCATTGTCTTCAAATTCTGTGTACCTCAGACAAGATTTTATACACATCTCCAGGTCCTATGCTTGCATGTCACAGTTAATCTCTTCCCAGGAAAGGTGCTGTGAAAAGACACCCCCCTCAGCCTGACCCTCTCCCTGGCTCACAGTCCCTTTGTGGTGCTTCATGTTCCCGGATGTCTTTAGATTCTGTTTAAAATGTCCTTGTTAATACATTCCAAGGTCTGAACTCCGTTCCTAGCTAAACCTCTTCCTTGTTTACAGGGACTGAAATAGCCACACTTTGACCTTCTGTTCAGTCTGGGAACATTGATGGCAATGTGGATACATTCTTTTCCCATGTGAGAATTATATCTGTATGGCACAGTTCTGGAAGGCTCAGAAAATTTTAGTTTTGTTCCTTTCTTCTCTCCTTCCTTCCATGGTCTCCCTCCCCCCACTTCAGAAGATCAGCTTCTGTAATCAGCCTGTATTAACCAGAACTTTACCTATCTTCCTGTTCAGGCAGATGTATACAGAATTGTAGTCAGGACCGGTTGCTTTATTGCCCAAAAAAATTGGAAATGCCTTCTCCTCCCTGCAGCAGTATCAGCTTTCTATAGAAGGCACTGTTCATTGAGGTGCTCAGGGTGCCACAGGGGTGGTGTGCACAACTGAGATGGGCCCCCTGGGTACAATCTCCTGGCGTTGTCAAGACTCTGACCCAAGTCTAGTGCCATATCCCATCGTGGCCTATCGCTCCTATTTCATCTGCTCTGGATTCCCAGTGTTCAAATTACAGGGTTGTGTTTTTGGTATATGTAAATGACTATATGTGGAGTTGAGGAAGGAGTAGATAATTTTTGGAAGGATTATCCAAGATAATCCCCGTGAAAGCCACATGGCCTGGACAGCGAGAATTCCTGAAGGAGGAAGCCCTGGAGGCTGAAGGGATCAGGAAAGGTGAGTTGTAAAAGATAGGAGAGTGTATAACATGGGCGGACAGGGAGCAGGACAGAAAAGAGAAAGTACATAGCCTGGGACAGAGCTTTTGAGGGCCTTGAAGGATGTATTAGGGATATGAGACTTGGGGAGTCACTGAGGACACTTGAGCAGGGCTTGGAAAAGGGGGGTTAAGGAATCATCATTACTTTGCTGCCTACCCATTGCAAAGCGGTTGGAGATGCACAGTAACAGTCCATATACTAAGAGGTACACCCAAAGTAGTGATGGCGATATTGGAAAGGAGCAGATGATCATGTAGACTTAGTGTGAGAGACTGCACAGGGCCCAGGGATGGATGCAGGGACAGAAACTGTCAGGGCAGAAGATGGTCTTGGCTGAAATACCTGGGAAAAGCTGACAAGAATAGGGAAGGAATTGCCTACGAACCACAAGCTCGCCAGCAGCAAAAGTAGACAGCAAGGCACTGAAAGAGACACCAGAGACTCCACCCATCCTAAATCAACAGGCCAACTTGGGAAAGGAAACTCATATGGTCCACTTCCTTTGCCTGCCCATTCCATTTCTTCCTTTTGTAGTCCCTGAAAGCAACATGACAGCTTTGGTTACAGGCCATGTCACCACAGCTAGGCCAGCTGCTTTTCCACTCCAAGCCCAGAGAGGCAGCAGTAGCCCCTTCCTTCTCAGAGCACAGGGGCTGCTAGATAATTGTCTCATGTGAATTATCCCAAAGTAAGAACCACTGTAGAGTGTTCTTCAGAAAAGGTTTCTAGGAATCCACACATAAACCTTCCTTTGGCTGCTTGCATGTATGTGGTCAAGTTTAGAATGAGATGGAACTTGCAGAAGAAGAAAATTGCCCTTGTCTATTTCTTTAGTAAGCTAGTTTCACTCCACTATGACATACACTCCTTGGGAGTAGAATGAGAGGAGTTGGTACCACATCACACTGTAATCAGTGCACTTGAGGGGAGTTCAAGGGCAGCAAACCAGGCTTAGTAAGTGTGGATTCACAAGGGAACTTTAGTTGCTATAGCCCCCTAAACAATGGCCCCACCATAAGCCCCCTGCAACTCCAAGTCCCAACCCTGGGCTGCTTCATACAACATATTCTCAGATTGTGGGGTTTTGTGCCCCCATCTGCTTCCAGGTAGAAATCAGGGTGTAGCAGACAAAAGACACAGTTACCAGGAGGGGTCCTATTATTGGCCCTGCTGAGTGTCACAGGTGTATGGCATGCACCAAAGACAGGATGTACACACCCTGCCCGGGGTAATTTCTTCATTATAGAGCATATGATAAGTGGTAGTTGACTCCTCATTTCTGTGCTGGGTACCATGGGGAGGCAAAGGAATCAGAAAGTGAGATTTTCCTGAAGCAGTTTACTTCCTTGTTCACTCCTAGTAGAACCTTTTTGTGGCTCAGAGAAATCTGAGGCTGTAAAGGTGGAAATGGGCCAGGATCACTTGAGCACATTACAGCTCTCTAGTTTTGGCCTGCTAGGATTAATTCACTTTTTACAACAACCTGAATAGGTAGATAGGTAGTAAGTAGCATAGTAACGCAGTCAAGGTTCAGGATATTCAGATTCCCATTCTAGAAAACCTTGTCCTGCTTTCTCCCTAGGGATTTCCCATGATCCATGGATGCATGGTATTATATTGGGCCTTAAGACTTGCAAGCCATTATTTCTACCCATTTGTATGTCATCTAAAAACTAGGATATGGAAAGGTATTTTGTGTGTCAAAGTTCAGGTCCAGATGCAGCACTATACAGTGGTGGTTTATGGAGAAGTGTTAAAAAATTATTCAGTTCTCCATGTTTGAGTGTTCACCTAAATATTCTGAGTTCAGGATTTACTAAGTAATTTCTACCTTGGAACAATTAAGTGGTTGTTATCAATAATGATGTTTTCTTCATAGCCTTTTCTCTCACATAAGCATTTCCCTGTACAAACGTCTAGTATATACTTATTTGCTTTTGCGAATACCTTTTCTACAAATATAAGTGAGTATGACATGTTGGCAAGAAACAAAGGCATTAGGAGTTGGAGAAGGAAAGGAAAAATAGAGGGTTTGGAGTTTGGGGGTTTTTTTGGTTGGCAGGGGGCGGGTATTGAGAGGGTATTGAGGATCACCCATAGGGCCTCATAACTAATGCTAGGCAAGCACTCTACCTCCCATCTACAACCCTAGCCCTTTTTATTTTGAGATAGGGTCTCATTAAGTTGCCCAGGCTGACCTCAAACTTGTGAGCTTCCTGCCTTAGCCTTCCAAGTAGTTCAGACTGTAAGTGTGACATCACACCTTAGCAATTGTACAAGCAAATTGGGTAAACCAAAACATAATAGATCGGAGATGCATATATGACCAGAGTGCTTATCTGGCACACACAAGGCCCTGGAATCAATCCTCACAACACAAAGAGAAAACGTCCAGGACCAGCCCCAGATAGGTAGGAGTCAAGGACTTCAATGATTATTTGAAGGCCCTTGTTTTTGCCACAAGGCAAAGAGAAAGGTAGTTCTTTGCAACTTTAGGAAAGGGGACCTTTAAAAGTTTTTATTATGTAAGTAACGATAAGTGGAAATTAAATGTTAGCCCTATATCTCACTGTGGTGTGACCATTGATCCTCTTGTGTATGGTCTTTATTGGGAGAGATTGTTTACCTACATACACACACACTCATAAGGAATCACTCTTGAATTTCTCCATGGGTTTCTCAGTCATGGCATTAGGAAAAAAGTACTGTACATGGTTTTGAGGTCTACTCTGCCAACATGTTTTCTTTCTGTTTCAGGCTTGAAAAAAACCTTGCCCAGTTTTGATCCCTTCAAGACTTTGCCACAGCCTCTATCACACATCTGTTTTACTCGAAGAAAAAAAATATATAATAAAAAATGTTTTACTCTTTTACACTGTATAATTCTAAGAAATAGTGTTATTTGTGAATGCATGGTGTGACATAATTTCTGTACAGTTTGGAGATATTTTCAAATGAAACATAAAAGAAGTCAACAATAAAACCAAGAAAGTGAGTATTTTTATACCAAACATTTTAATTCTGACAGGATGGATTCTTACACTGGGTTGGATCACAAATTTTATGCTAGACTTATCGAATGCTTGTAATTAAAAATATCTATTTTTTTCTTTAAAATAAGCTGCATGTTTGAGGCATGTTTCGAAATAGTTACCAACATTTCCAGAATTGTATTGTTAAATGTATAGACACTGTCTGCCTGGCTGAAGTCCAGGGTTCATTAGTAATGTAGTGTTAGAACTGTTCTCTTCAGCCCTGGTCTGTGATCCCAGTTCCCATATGATATCCCTACAAGACAATCAAAGCTTCCAGGAGCTACTTTAATGGCATATTCACAACTGGGCAAAGAAAACTTGGGGAGAAATTCTTTAGACTAGAGTGTGCCCTTTGAAAGATCTGGCAGCTCCATCTGTGACTGTATGAACTGTGTGTTTCAAGTTTCATGTTTATCTTTTATGAGAGCTTGCTCCCCTGTGTGACTAACTTGCTGTATTACTCACCTTCCATAGCTATGCCACTGCTCCTGTGGGACTGTAGTAGCCCTCACTGTGAAGGAGCACCTTGGCTTCGGGGCTGGCTTTGCCCAACTACAATGGGCAAGCCCACATCTGCCAAGTGATTTTACCCAACTTTGGCTGAACTAAGCTAGTGTTCAAACAGACCGCCTGTCACATGTTCTGGAATCCCAGGTTGCTTGTCGTGAGGTTCCCAACTACTCTGGCACAGGGGGAACCACGGTAACCAATGGCCAAGAGGAGGACGGTTGGGCTTCTTTCAAAATGGTCAAAGCTAAACAGTCTTTGTGTTTTAAGGTGACACATTCCAGAATCTGTGACAGCTCAGCCTCTCCCCCTTCCCCTTGTATAAAAGCCATGTGTAAAACTATATTGACCTAAGAGTTTCTAACTGCTAATATAGCTAGAAATGATCACAATCTTTCCTACTGATCTGCTCACTCACTGTGTTGAAAAATTCAATATTTTAATGATTATATGCTTGATTTGGGGGTTTTGTTTGTTGTATCATTTTTCATTAGAAATAAAAATAACATTTTTAATGGTTATCACAACAAAGCAAAGCTAGGAGTGAGGGGCTCTTTCTTACCAACAAGAAGAAGAAAGAGGGCAGGCAGTAGCCTAGAGGCTCCTGATAGATCTGCTTGGGTGTTTAGGGAGGGTCTATGCCCTCAGCACCACTTAACTCTTGGTGAGACTCCTGTATTTGATTTTAAGGAAAACAAAGCCACTTCACTATTATGCTTTTTTAAACTGTTTGTTTAAAGGTACTTTTCTATTGTTATTTTTAAAAAATAAAGTGCTTATTCCAGCTATCACACCATTGCTTGACAAATTCTTTTTTTCAAGATCAGCCAAATGTGTCCCACACACTGCAGTCTAGGGACCAGAAATTTCTGTTTCAGGCTTTGGGACCAGCTAAGCACTAGCATGGAAAGATTAAAGGAGGAAACAGGTAGGAATGGGAGAGCCAGGGGATAGCCTCCACAAATGCACCACTTGGGTCACTGTCACTACTGCCACAAGCCATAAAGGAGCCCAAGGTAGATTCACAACTTTTCCGAGATGCCTTTCACTGAATTCAACAGACATGCACCTCAGGCTACAAAGCTATGGCTCAAGATCATTCGAATTCTATTCAGGTGTCACTGATGGCTTTATGCTGACTTAGCCAAGATGATTGATAAGAGTTTCACACATGCGCTCACTCACCATTCTTAATAATGCCTAATTCCAAACAATGGCAACAACAGCTACTGTAATCCTTGACTTGAACACTGATGTTTTTTGGTTCCGTGTTTTGGATCTCATATCCTTTTCCAGAGGCGACTATCCACCAAACGCAGGCCATCACTGCCACCTTCCGGTCCCTTGAACTCATGGATAACTGGAGGAAAAAGGATAGGAAGCTTTCCACAGCCACACTCGGCTCCATGCCTATACCGGGCAGGCTTGATCATGTGCCTTTGCCTTTAGCCCATCCGTCAGCCTCCAACTCAAAAGCGCCAGAGATTGCCATACAGCCCAGGAATCGAGGGCAGCCAGTTTTACAGCTGTGGGCTACACTATCCCAATAGCCATTCCTGAACACAGTCACTTCCCAGATGATTTCTCAGAAGAGGACCTGGGATGGATGAGTGCCTAACCATCACTGTGCTGATGTGCAAGTGACAAGGGTGGATGGTATTTACCAGTTCTGTGCAAATTACAGTCCTGACCAAGCATTTGAGTACCAACTTCATTACAGTCTCTGAAAATTTGTTTTTTCTGTCACTCTACTGATAATGAATGAATGTACTGTCTTTTAGAACCAGGAACATGGAATAAGAAAAAAGGCATGTCTATTAGCTCTTGCTCCCTTACTCAATGTCCCAAATTTGTAACCTCTGTAGATAGATTAACTTAGCCATCACTTTATTTCATTACCAAATGTACTTTCCCTTGTGAATACAAGACTAATTGAACTAATTTTATAAACTGGCATCTGAAATAACACTCCTTCCACTTCTGTAACAAAATTATGAATTAAGGGAATTTGGAAAGAACCTTACAATTTGCAAATGAAAACACCTCCAGTTAATCACATCTAGGCTCCAGCTTCACTGGATCTAGTGCTTGCATAATGTCAACCCCACTTTCATGGGCTAACTTGCAATAATTACTACCCCATCTCAAACTCTATGGCATCCCTGAATCCTGAGTTGTGTAGCCTAGGGAACTTTTTTTTAAAAAACTTATTTTTTAGTGGTAGTTGGACACAATAACTTTTACTTATTTATTTTTATGTGGTGCTGAGGATCGAACCAAGGGCCTCACATGCACTAGGCAAATGCTCTACCACTGAGCTACAACCCCAGCCCCCCTAAGGAACATTCTTAAGAATGATAAAGGCATGGCTGAGGTCCTGGATTCTGTATCTTAATACACAATCCTTGGTGTCCATATCTAAGTTACTTCTGAGGGATCTGGACAAGACATGATCAGTGCTAACAATGTGGACAGATTTCCTCCTGCTTCCACATCACTGCAACATTCAACTATGGTGAAAAGCCCACTCTTCCGGAGTAGTTTAAATATCAGCACATGGTTGCTCTCTTACTATTCTATTTTAAAACCATTATGTCACACCTTCTAACAAAACAAATTTTACAACATTCTTAGGCTAAAGAATGTTTATTATTAGTGCCCTGTTATTAGTGCCCTCAGAATGCCTCTACTAAAACTATCACTGTAATGCTAAACCAAATATAAGTAGTCAATTTGATTAAGGTCTCCAAGTTAGGGGGGAGGGTTGTTTTTGCAGCACTGGGGATTGAACCCAGAAGTGCCTTACCCAGCGCTCCCCCACACCCCATTATTTGAGACAGGGCCTCAAACTTAATCCTCCTACCTCAGCCTCTAAGCAGCTGGGATTTCAGGCATGTGCCACTACACATGCAGGAAAATGTTTTTTTTAAAGCTCTATCTACCAATGGTGCAGGACATCCTAGTGGTAGTGACATTAATAATAAGAGTCAAGATAAAACTGGTATAAGATAAAAAGTGCTTCTGGAGCTAGTTCTGCCAGATTCAAGCTGTGGTTTATTTATTTATTTACTGAATGCCCTGTGGCATATGAACCCTGCAAAGTTCTGGCTGGTTGAAAAGTAAGATTTCACCAGATCTTCAAACCACAACATGCTTACAAGGTGCTGGCCCAAATCAGATGAGCTGGATTAATACTACAGCCCCAAACTTCTACAGGGGCCTAAGATAGCAGCCTCCTCAATCTTTATTTCTCCCATGGAGGAACTAACCAGGCCCAAACCCACTTAGCTTCTGAGACTGAACAAGGTTGAACATGTTCAGGTAAGTATGGCTGTAGACCATACTTTTTCTAATGGAAATCCTTTTGCGAAGGAAAATGTGCTTTTGTTCTTTAAAGCAGAGAAACAGAAGGTGGGGTTAGCCCAGATGATAAGGCTATAGCCTTGATTCTTTTTGCATATTTTACATTCATTTTGCTCCATGCTCTCCCCAAACTACATATAAACTCCTAAGGTGGCACACCAAAATGAGGTTTTCTGCTATCAGGCCTCCTTACACAAGGTGGGACTTCTATCTTGCTTAAATAAATCTTACTCTGTTTACTCTTCCCTCCCATTATTGTCTGTAGATTTTATTCTTCAGAATGTGCAGGCAAGAACCAAGAGGAAAGTGGCAAAATAGGGAATGAAGTCTCACTCAAAACTCCAGTTTCATCTTAAGAGGAAAGCCAATAGCATAATGCCAGGGCTTACTCTAAATCCACTTTTCTAAACTATGCTTCCCCCAACAGTCACAAAACAACCTGGTGACAAGTGTTCCAAAGTTAGTCTGAGAAATGGTTTCCAAGAGGTTCCCAGACCTTCTAACTCCCACCTACTCTTCTCCCAGTACACACTGGGAAATGAATTCCAAGGACAGCAATGTGAGTGATAACAGGTCATTGCTACAGAAGGCACGATACTTGCCTCAGCTTGCTAACAGTGAAACCTCAGAAAACCCCAAATCTTCCCACAAATCAGCTGAAAGTAAAACAGTAGCTAGAAGAAAGGGGGGACACTGAGTTTCATCTTTTAAGCCATTAGCTGAGGGGAACTGGGTAATTGATAAATACAAATACTCTAGTCCTACATAACCAACTACATTCAGAACATGTTTTTGCTGCCAGTGATTTCAAACAGCTCATATGAAAAATCCAAGGCTGTACATTTGCATTCCTTCCCTATGAACACTGGGATTGGAAGTAATCGGATGTCTCTGCACTACATTTTTCCTAATTCTCTGCTCAACAGGTATAAAGTGCTCTTCTGTCCCTGGGGTCCCACCATCATCTAGCCACACTCACCAGCTATGACAGCAGTGGCCAAATGTTCATTTTTATACTTTGTTCAGGCTCAACTACATTTATCTTAGCTATCCCCTAAGAGCCTCACGTGACTGATGAATTATAAATTAAATGCAATACAGCCTGACTTACCCTTTTAACTCATTCAGCCATGCCCATCCCCACTTGCTTCTGAATGGCAGCAGATCCAACAGAAACAGGCAGAAGTGGGAAAACAACTTTAGCTTGGAATTTCTGGAGAATGTTTTTTAGACACCCAAAAGAACTGCTAAAAAACTTACTTCTTTAATTATGATCATAAACATAACTAGGATCCTATCAAATTTTCCACAAAAACTATATCCTCCCCACATCATTCAGTGATGCAATCTCAGTACTTCACCATGCAGGAATTGCATGTCATAGGCAAAGAGGATCAAGGCTTATCAGCAAAATAAAATGCAAGTGAATGAAACAAAGCTATAGTTCACACATGTTATCGACTTGGCAATACACTTCTCTAGATCTAAACTTCCTCATTTCTGAAATAAGTTTTAGACAACGATCAATTATCAGGCCAGTCCATGAAGTATTGATGAGCACAGGCTTAGCTAGAAATTATTAACAATACACAAGCTGTAAAGCATATTGTTTTAGAATCTGTGATGGAGGTCTATCTCCTTGCAGAATAAGATGAAGTATGGGGTGTACAGACCACAGAAGCAGGCATTTGGAAATAAGCTAATTCTACATTTACAATGAAACTAGTTTTATGCTGTAAGTCATTAAAGTTCCTTATTTACGAAGCAAGACAGGTTGAATTTCCTGTATTCCTAATTATCAAGGGGAGTCTCAGTTTCACATCTCATGTTTCGGAGCTTGGAATTTAGAAAGACATAAAGCAAACACAGAGCACTAAATGGGTAGGAAGTTCACATATAGAATATAAATTAAAAAAGCAAAATGCCTTCTGTCATCTAATCAAAGGACTCACTGCTTTGGGCACCATCATGCCTTTTTTGGGGACACCAGACCTCACTTTTATAATGCAATACAATTTCAACCTGTGATATGAAGCCATTAACACAAAGGACCACAGCAGTCCATATAAAAAGCAGCAATAAGGGGCTGGGGTTGTGGCTCAGCGGTAGAGCTCTTGCCTAGCACGGTGAGGCCCTAGGTTCAACCCTCAACACCACATAAAAATAAATAAATAAAATAATGGTATTGTGTCCAACTATAACTAAAAAAAATTTTTTTTTAAAAAAAAAAAAGCATCAATAACGAAAATGGGCACTTTGCTACAGAAGGCAAGAAGGACCACAGCAACTTCCCATTATGAAAAAAACCCACACATACTTGATAAAAGCTCTCATGAGCCAGGCCAGTGACAGGGGGAAAGTGGGGGTCTCGACCAGATGAACCTCAGGCCAAGTCATGTGAGGGGTGAGACATGGTAAAGCTAATGTTCA